TCCCTTTGAAACTCATATATATTAATATACTGTTGGGACAAGAATATTGATTATTAATTATTATGGATGTCATTACTTGAATGAGTTAGCAATAAATCATAAATTAATATTATACATTCAGAATATAATTTTCTCTATAGATATGAATATTTCGAGTATAAATTATTGATTTTTATTCTTTACAAGAACATTGCCAAAGAAATATATGTATAGTTACATTTAAAAAAATCCTCGTGAAATTAAGCAACGAAAAACTGATGTCAGAACTGATCGAAGGATTCGTAGACTTTCCGAAGCAGTTAGAATAATACGTTATCGTTTAAATGAGTTTGATTTAATTAGTTGAGTAACGCGAATCAAAACTATTTACCATGAAAAAAAATTAACGCGTGAGAATTGCATTTGCCAAAGAACATTTTTATTTAACATCAAAACAATGGTCTAACGTAATTTTTTCAGACGAGTCGAACTTTAATCGATATAATTCTAATGGAAAAACATATGTTAGGCGACGCGTAGAAGAAAAATTTAACCACTTGAGGTACGCACTGCTTTTGTTACCGGAACGCCAGCGACGTGTTATGCACGTCGTTGGGCGATTGTTACAGAAAGATAAATGACGTGCGTGGCACGTCCACTGTTCAATAAAATTCTTTACCGAGGCACAGTTTCTGCTTGCTCTTCATCGTGTAAAATTATCAGTATTGATCCCAGATTATAAAATGGAAAATGATAGCGAAGCCAGTGATGTTATTTCTATAAATTAACGGAGAAGACAAGGATTCCCGCTCGATTGTTCTGGCAAGCGCAACCGAGAATTTCTTTGCACCGCAAGTGGTTAAAAAGATTCGTACAAAATCCACCACAGTCGAAGGTAGTGAAAGTTTTGTCCGAAGATATGGCGAACTTATAAAACAAAATGGTTTAGCAACTAAATATTAACGTATAAAAACTTAAAAATTAAATAAATATTGCAAAATATGAAAATTATTTATGTGTCATTAAGTATGTGTCCGTCAAAAATATTACATTACTTAAATAATTTTTTGTTCTTATTAATATTAAAAGATAAGTCAAAATTTAAAATAGTAAAGTAATTAATAAAAAAAAATGTATATTATAGTTTAAAAACACAAAGTATATGTTTGATGTACCGTCCCTTTCGAAATCCACCGTTACATTGACAAGTTGTCTACTAAAAAAATTCTTTTATTGAATGTTGTTTACCTATATAACTTTCTAATGGCTATATATGGATAACGTAAATAATTTTTGTAATAAATATAGAATTTAAGATTATAATTATTTTAATTTAACGTTTTGTTAAAGTTTATGTAATTTTTTCAACTAAAATATCTTTGTTTTAACATTTCTACGCAGTAATGACTCCGAGAGTAAAATTTTCCTGTAATATAAGTAGAGTGCATTAGAATATTAAAATAACTGTTAAATAATTAATAGAAGTATCTATTGTTGCTTAAAAGCTCGGAGTATACGATCTATGTACCGTCCTCTTCGAAATTCGCCGTTAAAGTGGGCCTTTGTCTTTTATGTAAATATTTTTATTAAATATTGTTTATATGATTTTCCAAATAAGGAAATTCTATTTATTACGAATATTATTTTTGTTATGCATATGTAGCCTTCGGAAAGTCATGTAAACAACATTTAATAAAGGAACTTTCATAGAGGACAACGAGCCAGTCTAACGGGAGCTTTTGAAAAGAAAAGTACGTCCGCATTTATATTCCGTTTTTTTAAACTATAATTTACATTTTTTTTCAATTAATTAACGATCATTTTAAGTATATCGGACATTTGATTTTTTACTAATATTTTAGATTGTTTTAACGTTCCAAGTCAGCGATGATTTTTAATAGAAAATTTTTATCTTAAAAAAATATCAGATAGAAATTGTTTAATATTTTTTATATGTTATATTAATAAATATGTAATTTTTAAACAAATTTACTCTTTATTATTCTTACTTTGATAAGTATTAAACTGATTCTGATATTAAAAAAAAAAATATTTAAATAACAATTAAAACAAAGGATGATCGAGCAATCGTTAGATATGAAAAAATCGGATATTCCCACCGTTTTTATATCAACATGTACGATTTTAAAATACAGATGTTTTCCGTATATTATTTTTGTATTTGTTTAATTCACTTATTATAAATAAAGCTTGCAAATATTAAACTTATTAAATATATTAATGTATTTATTTAAAAATTTTTCTTATTTTAAACACACTATACTAAAAATACTTTTCAAGGATAAATATAGTAAACTTAACAGTGTACAATTTCAAGGTTCCTCACTGTATATGTGTATCAATTGATTATTTTTCACATGATAATACGAGTTTTATTTCTATAGAAGTTTTTACGTTTATTGCATATTTATTTGCATATTTGGATATATTTTTCATGGATAAAAATCTCAGCAGTCAAATTTATTACTGATGATAGAACACTAAGGCGAGTTTATAAGACAAAGATTATTGGTTGAAAGAATGCTGTTAAACGACGCGCGCATTTATACGGACGACAGTCACCTTTATATCACTTAAATATGGAAGCGTTGAAAGTTAAACGAGTTCGATACAACGAAAATTCGTCTTGAATGTTTTGTGGTTATATAGTATATGTATATATATGCATTTATTGTTCATTGTTCTGAGGACTACCATCGAAAGTGAAAAAAGAAATTGGACAATTTGATTAATTTATAAAATTAGATTACTCTACTGTTAAACAAAATGTCTTCTAAAGAATATAACAAAGAAACGGACTATGATGTTTCTGATGCGTTTGGATGCCCAAGGTATCATTGTCTGTACAACATTCAATTATCTTTACGTCTCGATTGTTTTTTTATAAAACGTTGAATCTAAGTGATCAAAAATAAATGTATCTCTTATGATAGTATAGATTTTATCGTCAAATTTTAAAACACATTTAGCTTTAACCTGATATATTATATGAAAATTAAATTTATCCAAATTTGTAAATCATTTATATCCTTGCAGGAAAACTACTACTCCAGTTATTCGACCTTTACAAACATCACCAACCGAACGATATGCTTCACATTACAAAATGGATCATTCCAAACGTGGCATAGCAATTATATTTAATCATGAACTTTTTTCTATTAATCATCTTAAACCACGAAACGGAACTAATACTGATTGTGAAAACTTCAAGTCTGCATTACAATTACTTGGATTTACTGTTCGAGTTTATGAAAATTATACCTCTAAACAATTAGAAATGGTTTTGAAAGAAGGTATCAAAAGAAAGGATAGAATAAAGATTAAGTAAATTACAATATAAAAACATAAAATAATCTCTAATTGATAACAATGTATTTTTATAGTTTCAGAACTAGATCACTCTAATCACGATTGCTTAATAGTTTCTGTATTAAGCCATGGAGAATTAGGAATGTTGTATGCATATGATACTCCTTACAAAGCTGATAATATTTGGTCTCCTTTTACTTCAGATAAGTGTCCTACTCTTGCCGGAAAACCAAAACTATTCTTTATACAAGCCTGTCAAGGCGATAAGTTAGATTCTGGTATAACTTTAAAAGAACGTACAGAAACTGATAGTAGTACACATACTAGTACATTCCGTATACCAAGTCATGCAGATTTTTTAATTGCTTATTCAACAATACCAGGTAAGCTGTAATTCTAATCGTATGTTTTGAATATTGAAAGTAAGTGAACACGTTCTATCTTTAAATTTTTTATTAATTAAATTCCACAAAATAATTTCCATATAGGTTTTTATTCATGGAGAAATACGACACGAGGATCATGGTTTATGCAAGCATTGTGTATAGAATTAAAAGAATATGGATTTCAACATGATTTATTAACGCTGCTTACTTTTGTCTGCCAGCGAGTTGCAATTGATTATGAATCTAATACTCCAGATAATATAACTATGCATCAACAAAAACAGATTCCATGCATTACAACCATGTTAACTCGTCTAGTAAAATTCACTGCCCCTCAAAATGGTGTTTAATGTTTTAAGATTAATATTATATATCTATATTAACACTTAGCCGACCACCGGCGCCATAGAGAACTGTATGGTTTCCACCATATTTGGGCAAAATAAGTAAGGTCAACATGGATGATCTCCCCGAATGGCCGGCTAAATGTTAAGTAGCACATTTTACTTTATTGAAGCACATGTATTATATATGTGCTTAACTTTATTCAAGTAACATGTATTATTAATTTTTTAAATGCAATCACAATTCTACTGCCATTATTTTTTGCATTTATAATAACTGTTTAGGAGAGTGGAGATATACACAAATATGCGAAGTACAAATTTTTCTGGTCTCACAAATTAATGAAAACAGAACAAATTTTTTACACAAATGTTTTTTAGACTTTATATATTTACATGTAACGTGGCCCTATTAATTTTTAAACCGTTTTGTGCATTTAAAAGATACTACCATTAAATTACATCTTTCTGTAATCCAATATTATTACTTAGTTATAACAATTTTTTTTGTATTCCAATGATCTTATCAAATTACTTAATATTTTTAAGTTTTCGCATTATATAAATCACGTAAATTTTGTAAATATTTGCAATTAAAAATTTTATAAGAAAAAGTTTACAATTATAATTAAAAAGTTCCACTGTTTACCATTGTGTGAATTGTTGTGATAAAATATATGTTAACCATGTAAATCTGTTATTATAACAATTCTATAAAAATAATTTCAACACAAGATAAATATATTTTATATGTAAGATAGTATTATCACATGCATACACATGCAACGCTGTGAGTTTTGTATAATCGAGTGTCTTTTATACTGTATACACTTGTACCTTTATACACATTTATATACAAAATTTATGTATGACTTCTTTGTATGCAATAGCGATATTATACAATGAAAATGAAAAAAACATATTACAAATAAAGTTTCTCTGTAAAAATTATTTTTTTTCCTTAAATAATTTGATTAATTTATATTCTATTTTATTATTTCATTTACTTGTACGCATTGGCCCCCAAAATATATAATATCTTATAGATCATTATTGAAGAACTTGTCCAGGAATATTTATTATCGATAATGTATTATGTGATGTAGAATGTGCTGGTGCTGTATATGGACGGTGATATTTATTATTTTTTTTATCATTAAGATGCGTATCAAAACTTGATAAATCTATACTAGTTATAGTTTGGGTACTTTTTTGTGCTACAGGTATTATAATATTAGAATTATCGTATAAAGATAGATCTTCATTCATATTAAATGTACTTTCAGAAGGAAGCGGTGCAGTCTTATTTGACATGAAGATTTTCTTAAGTTGAGATTTCCCATTGATAACACCTGCGTGTTCACGTTATTTACATAAATTCATATTATAATGATAATTTATTAATACAATATAATCTAATTGAAATATATAATTCTTACCATTGAGTAAATGATTTCCTGTATTATTTTCTTCCTAAAAATAAAAAAAAAAAAAGCAGAAAGTAATAATGATAGGATATCGAATTTCTATATCTCATTGTACATTTATAAAAAAATATAAGTTTACCTTTTTAGATAAAAGTTCTGCTATTGGTTTAAAAGGATTAGAGTGTACTGATAATCTAGGTGGAGAATATTTGCAATCCTTTACAACTCTTCGATTTTTTAATTCTTCGTTTATGATGTTTTGAGATTGCTTAACTCTATTATTTAAAACAATATAATTCCTCAGGATTGTATCCAATAACCATCTAAGAAAAAATAAATATATTTTTGTTCAAAAGATGATTTCAACTTGATGAAAAAGAATTATAAACAAATTATCATTACTTATATCCATTTGTAATGCCTAAAATACTACTTTTAACGTGGTCTTTGTCGGAAAAACAAGAACAAGTTTCAACTCTTGTAGGGCATCGTGTGGTATTCACTACATATTCTACATCTAAATTGTCAACAACATCCAATTCATCGATAGCTCCATTTAAATCTTGTTTGTTGGCAAGCCTATACATACAGAAATAAAATACATGTAATATTTATTACAGCAATTAATCATAATTGATATATTGTTAATATGTTGCTAGACAATTATTAAAAATTAAAATTTCATGTGCGTATATCGAAACCAAAATGTGTGAAATAACACATAGAATGATTTATATTTCTTACAATAATAATGGTTTTCCCGAAATATTTTCATGCGCAACTAATTCACCAAATACAACTTTATTTTCTGCAAGACGGGAAATATCACTAGCATCCACCACGTATATAAGACCGTGTATCTAAAATATTTAATATTAAAGCACATATGCATAATAAATATGCTTTTTCTTTATAATAGAAATTACTTGAGAAAAATTTCTATACATTGTAAATTATTAAAACATATATATATATATATAAAAGTCAATTATTTACACTAAAATAATATGAACTTACATCATTATAATATTTTGGCCATAATGATCTTATTTGTGTGCTACCACCAAGATCATATATTTTTATAGCATAAGATTTATATTTTAAACATACAGTTCGGAATCCCATTGTTGATAATACGTGCTTATCAGGATCTAAAAGTTGAATAAACTTTAAGTTTATATGAAAGTATATATATAATGTAACAATGATTTATTTATATTAAAAATAAAATTCCAATCTATGAATTTCTAGTAATTAATTTAATATTTTGAATTTTTGCTAATATATATATAATATAAATGAAGAAAAAGTTCTAATGCAAAAAAATAACAAATTTTGAATAGTAAAAAAGAGCAAAAACTTTTTATTGCATACCACCACATATGTGATTTAAAATTAAAGTCTTTCCTGCGTTGTCTAGACCAACAATAAGAAGAGTTATACTTCTGAAATAAAAATAATATATTTGTATTTAAAGAAAAGATTTAAATTTTTCTTATAGAAAAAAAAGTTAGAATACTTTACTTTTCTGAATTATGTTTTTTTGATAATTTTTGTATCGTATTTCGTAGACAATTACCCATTATAACAATTTAATTACAATTAAATTAGGTCTTAAGTTATATCTCTTATATTATTAATTTAATTTTGTAATTTATAATGCATAAAACGCGAGCCTAAAATAAGTCTATCGGCAAAATAAAATAAATAAATATATGTGTAATTCATATTTGATTATTGAATTTTATTTTTAACAATTTTTATGAAATTATTCGCACAATAAATCACACTTGAGTATTATAATGTACAAAATTACAATCGTAAAAAATACAACTTGATTCGATTCTTGTTTGGTATAAACTTGACTAAGCAATCATAAACAAACATATAGTAAAACATGAACTTACTAAATAAGAGAAGAAATTGAACTTGCTATAAAAAAAGTATATACCTAACATATTTTATTTTAATATTACATATGTAAATAATAACTTGCTGTTAATGAAATTTTTATTTAAAAAAATTGTATATTTATATAAATGAATATAGATATAAAATCAATACATATCACAAATCCACATGATTTAAATGTGTTAATATATTTTTTATTATTTTATTAATTGAAAATTTTTTTTTCAAAATGATATATTATACAGCATGAATATTTGATAATAACAATATTCAAATTGATTTATGTATTTGAAAATATAATATAATGGACAAATTTTTTTTAATCCACCGTTGAACAATAGGTTTAAAAACTCAAGAAAACTTCAACGCCTAGATAGCTCAGTCGGTAGAGCATCAGACTTTTAATCTGAGGGTCCAGGGTTCAAGTCCCTGTTTGGGCGAATATATTTTTTCTTTTTTTTTTTTTCGCAATAATTTTATAATACTAGGAATATTCATTATGATCGGTATAAAGAAAAATTAAAATTAATAAAAGAAAGAAAAAAACAATTATTAAATTTCTCTCAGATCATTTTAATATAATTTAATCAATATAATAATTTATTTAATTGTTATTGCGGCTACAATGTATTAAACGTAGAAATTAATTCGATGCCTTTTAAAAATAAATTTAATATTTTTATTTATAGCACCGAAATCATTGATTAATTAATAATAAAAAATTACACACACAAATATTTCCCACGAATCTACCAACAAACATTATACACTGCACTTTTAAGTACAATATGGAAAATAAAATGACATTAAAATATCCATAGTATAAAAAGAACATGAATAAATTCGATTAAAAAAAAAATCGAAATGTAAATCAGTCGACGTAAAATAACATTATAAGTATCTAATAATATCTTATTATAAAATAACTATACAATATAAAATGAAATTTTATACATGTAGGCAAGATATATGAATTTGCATAAATCCTGATAAGATCACATTATTGTAAGTGAGATAAAAAATAACATTTATTTATTTAAACAATAAATGTTTTATGATTGTTCATTAATGCTGCCATCCATCATACCAAAATATGCTTTATGTGCCATATTAATAAAAAGACCTGTTTCTATTACTCCAGGGTATAATAAAATTTCTTTATTAATTCTATTCCAATCGCTCAAATCTTCTGGAAAATGCCAATCCAGAATAAAATTACCATTGTCAGTTATAATAGGTCCCTGCAATAATCATATACAAAATTTAATAAACACAAGTGTATGTTTATTTTATATTAAAAATAGACAATAGTAAGATATAAGAAAAATATTTACAGCTTTAGCAACTGCCATTCTGATCTTTACATCACCACCATAATTGTCTTCAATTCTATGGCGAATAGGAACATATGCCATAGGAGCTACTTCAATAGGTATACCATTCTTATATTGTTGTCCAAGTTTCTTCGATTGTTTTCTAAAATTCATTGTAATATAAGTACAATGTATAAGGAAAAATGTTATTAGATCGGTATAGATTTATAATTTACGTATAATCAGCTATGATAATAAATTGTTTGGCACACGAAGCAACAATTTTTTCTTGAAGCAAACATCCCCCGCCACCTTTAATAATATTCATATCGGCATCAACTTCATCTGCGCCATCAATGGCACAATCTATCTATAAATGAAATATTATATTATACAATAAATGATAATATCTAACAAACACACACGCACACAAGATATTAAATTATATAAAAACATTGCTTACTTTGGGATAGGAATCCAAATAACCTAATGTTAGATCATTATTAAGTATCAATTGTCGAGCTTGATACGAGGTAGGAATGCAAACCACGTTAAGTTTTTCTTCCCTTACACGTTCGGCTATAAAAAGAAATAAATAATTCTGATCAAAATATAACCTCTTAATTGTGTATACAATATTAAACAACAACGTGGTAAAAGATATTCAGTATAGATATGATTATATTATGTACCTAATATATAAAAGAAGATATTGTATTCCAAAAAAATTAAAGATTATAATCTAAATAAGATAAAAATTATCTATAATATATATACATAATTTATAATAATTATTTAATTACAATCTCAATATAGTGTTGTACTAGACAAAATATTTTACAAAATAACTAATATTCTAAGAGCATAATAATAATTTAAAAAAAAAATTAATGTCGAGTATATCTGAAAATAAATTATTAATAGTTCTTACCAAGTCTGTGTACGGCATGAATAATTGTAGACCCACTACCAATTCCGATTACACTATTATCCTGTAAATCAAATTCAATTATAATCAACACATTAAATGTCAATACAAATATGTATTACTAACCTCTATAATTTTTCTGATTTATTATTTTGCAATAAAATAAAATAAAATAAAATAAAATAAAATAATATATTAATACACATAAATATATAAATTACCTTGACATATTCGTCGATAGCTTTATAAGCAGCAATTTTTTTTGCACTTTCAAGAGGTCCCATTTTTGATAAAATATGTAGATAATGATAATTATTTAAAAATCTCACGTTAATAAAAAAGTAAAACGACGAAAGAGCTTTCGCGCTTACTGATGTTTTCAAACTCATTCTCTAATTTCAATATAGGATTTAAAATTTTACCAACGTAATGGTAATTTTGTTTTACCAACATAACGAAAATGTTTTACAGTTTCGTACTGGGAAATTTCCTGAAAAAAAAGAGACAAATTTTCAATTAATTAAATAACTTATTATGTCACTACATGATATCAGATTCAATTCATGTATATTAAATTAATTATTAATTAGAATACTTTTAATTGTAAGATCTAACGTGTATATTTTGTGTCACGTTGATTGAAAGTTAAGAGATAAGTATGGATGATAAGAAAATTTTATAATTATAAAATTAACACGTACTCATACATACCACATTGATTGATAATAATTATTTTCATAAATAGATGTAAATACATATAATATATAAATACAAAAATGCATATGTATATTTCTAATTACAAAAGATCTTAAGAACAAGCATGTACATATTATAAAATGTTTGAACTTTAAGAATTACACTTATATACATGTTTATCACAAGTATATAATTATTAATTGTATGTCTAGTAATAATTAATGTTGTTCTTGTTTAGGTTATGTTGTTTAGATCAGTAGTGACGAAACTAGGATACACGTGCAAGAGATGGCACGTGAACGCGATTTACAGATTAAATTTATTTTCTAATAGATAAATCATAGATAAAATATTCCAGACTCTTCTCATTTTATATATAATTTTTTCTTACACATTAATATTTCGTACATATTATTATGCTGGCAATGCTGTTTAAATTGACACTAGTCATTATTGACACGTCAGATAGTTGATAAATAATATTTGGGAATTTTTGACATGCGCACGTAAAAAGATTCGACATCGGTGGTTTAAATTATCACAGAACAACTTCATAAACACGTGATACATAAACGGGATTAATTATTCTATTAGACTTTGATACTTGCATCTACACGTGTACTACCCATACATATTTTACCACATAGAGAAAGAGATAGAGAAATAATAAAGTGCGCACGCGCTCACAAATAATGGGGTAATTTGGAACGGGTGGTCCCCCTGAGTGGGTCCAAAGAAAAGTGTTACAAAGTTGAATTCGTTTTCTAAGGAGATTTATTAACGAATGTGATATCACTTAAATAATACAATTAAATTAATTTGATAAGAAATATTGAACTTTCGTTACACGCGTAAAATTGATATTACGATTTAAAATCAATAAATTTATTCGAATTATTAAATAAATGTTACACGCTAAAAAGATTACTTACTAATCCTCTAACCGGTAGAGAATATTTCGATCGATTTGATATATACGTTTGTATAGCTAAACATAATGGAAGCTTTAATACCAGTAATAAACAAATTACAAGATGTATTTAACACCGTTGGGGCAGATGCTATTCAACTTCCACAAATAGTTGTCTTAGGAACTCAGGTTAGTAAATATTTTCAATGTAATTATAATTTTCATGATACACACTTGATATTACTCCAAGTATTACATTTTGATCTTTATTCATTTATTTCTATTGTTGTTAAAAAATATTTAAATATTTATGTACAAAATTGTTCGACCATATTAATTTAATATTAAACGATTAATTACAATGGTTTAATAACAAGAAAGTAGTTGTTGATATTTCACTATTAAATTTTAAATGATTTACAAATTCTTTTACATTTTTATCATAATAATTATATGGAATGAAGTTTCTTATAATTGGTTATGTAGGATGATATATATATAATATATATATATTATTTCTAATTTGTTTATAGAGTTCTGGAAAGTCATCTGTAATAGAAAATTTAGTAGGTCGTTCGTTCCTTCCTAGGGGAACAGGTATAGTAACACGTCGTCCACTAATACTTCAACTTGTATATACGCCAAAGGAAGACAGAGAACATCGTAATGCAGAAAATGGAACATTGGATTTGGAAGAGTGGGGTACATTCCTACATACAAGAAATAAGATCTTTAAAGATTTTGATGATATACGTGGTGAAATAGAAGCGGAAACAGATCGAATGGCAGGAGCTAATAAAGGCATTTGTCCGGAACCTATCAATCTTAAAATTTATTCAATGTCTGTTGTTAATTTAACGCTTATAGACTTGCCTGGTATTACCAAAGTGCCAGTAGGAGATCAACCTGAAGATATTGAAAACCAAATTCGTCAACTTGTATTGAAATACATATGTAATCCTAATTCTATCATTTTAGCAGTTGTTACTGCTAATACAGATATGGCCACAAGTGAAAGTTTGAAACTTAGTAAAGATGTTGATCCAGATGGTAGACGTACTCTTGCTGTTGTTACAAAATTAGATCTCATGGATGCAGGTATATTTATTTTGAAGTATTTTTCTGTATCAAAGCTCTTTTTAAAACTCATTTTTTTTCTTTTGATAATAGGAACAGATGCGATAGACATATTGTGTGGTAGAGTAATTCCTGTCAAGCTTGGAATTATTGGAGTTGTTAATCGTTCGCAACAGGACATAATGAGTAATAAAAGTATTCGGGATGCATTGAAAGATGAAGCTGTATTTTTACAACGTAAATATCCAACATTAGCTAATAGAAATGGAACACCTTATTTAGCTAAAACGCTTAATCGATTACTCATGCATCATATACGAGATTGTTTGCCAGAATTGAAGGTATAGTATCATTTAAATTAATAAGTATATTAAAAATATTCTTATAACTGTTATATAAATAATAATATCTAATTTAATATGCGGTTTTGAAAATCAGACAAGAGTTAACGTGATGGTGTCGCAATTTCAAACATTACTTTCTTCTTATGGAGAAGATGTTGGAGATAAAAGTCAAACTTTATTGCAAATTATTACGAAATTTGCAAGCAGTTATTGTTCTACTATCGAAGGAACTGCTAGAAATATTGAAACTACTGAGTTATGTGGTGGCGCACGGATATGTTATATATTTCATGAAACATTTGGAAGAACGCTTGACTCTATCCACCCTCTTGCTGGTCTCACCAAGATCGATATTTTAACTGCTATACGAAATGCAACTGGCCCAAGACCAGCACTTTTTGTGCCCGAGGTGTCTTTTGAATTATTAGTTAAACGACAAATAAGAAGGCTGGAAGAACCTTCTTTACGATGTGTTGAACTTGTACATGAAGAAATGCAAAGGATTATACAACATTGTGGCACTGAAGTACAACAAGAAATGTTACGATTTCCTAAATTACATGAAAGAATTGTTGATGTTGTTACGCACTTGTTACGAAGACGTCTCCCTACTACCAATCAGATGGTATTATTTTAATTTTTTAATTTTCCTTACTTAATATATTATTTGTATATATTTCTATTGAAATTTATTTTCATAAAGGTAGAAAATTTGGTTGCTATAGAATTAGCATATATCAATACCAAACATCCAGATTTTCATAAAGATGCAGCATTTGTTTCTTCGTTATTGAAAAATACAGATATAGATAAATATAATAGAAAAGTACCTTGTACTAGCAGCAACTCTGTGTCTGGAATTGCAATACCTACTGAAAATGTAAGTGAAATTTACTATATTGAATGTAACTGATTTCATATTGTTCTAATCTCACATCTCTAAAAAACTAATTAATATTAGATATAAAATTTAAATAACAAAACATATACTTGATTGGGCATTTTATTTTTTGTTTTTTAATCTATTCCTTACTAATCATTCACAATCTGTATAACAGAACGTAAAATTGACCAATAGTCAAGATGAGTTGACATCTTTTTCTGAGCAGAATAAAAAGATGCATGCGCAACAAAATCATTGGTTACTGAGTAATTTATTACCGCAAGAAAGGACAGAATCTGTTACGTCTGCTGAAGGATCTCCAATTAGAACTTCGGGAAATATTTCTCCTCAACCAAATTTGATGCTTGACGTACAGAAATCATCGCCACAACAAAAGCCAGTAAATTTACTCCCTGAAGTGCCAATGCAAACATCGCGTAAACTAAGTGAACGAGAGCAACGAGACTGTGATGTTATTGGTAATTATAAAATAATATATATATTTTAGTATTTAATATTATATATAATATTTTGATATGCATTATTATATTTTCTAGAGCGACTTATTAAATCATACTTTTATATCGTACGAAAGTCTATACAAGATAGTGTACCCAAAGCAGTGATGCATTTCCTAGTCAACTTTGTAAAGGATAATTTACAAAGTGAACTTGTAACTCATTTATATAAATCAGATCAAGCCGAAGCATTGTTGAACGAGAGTGAACATATTGCTATTAGACGAAAAGAAGCAAGTGATATGCTAAAGGTATATTATTTATTAATTATATTTCTAATACTACTATGTATTCTATATAATGATCTTCATATGAAATAACTTTTTTTAACAAATTATATAAAACTTCTTTACTCTTTTTTCCATTATAGGCATTGACTCAAGCAGGTCATATTATCAGTGAAATTCGCGAGACGCACATGTGGTAATAGTTTAAATAATAAACCACAATAGCATCAGATTATAGATTAAAATAGGTATTATTATTGTGTTTGGATAGATAAGTCAATGAATGCAACTTATGTATATGCTAAAACACTGCACAAAATTTTTATTCTTCATGCAAACGAAATTTCTAGAACAATGAAGTAATAATTTTTGTCATCCCAGACATTATATAAATTTTTAATATGTGATGAGCATAAATTATGCACTACTTTGCTGTATATACATCTGAGATTGTTTAGATACCATAAAATGGAAATATTATGCTCAATATTATCAGTGTTGTGTGATGTCAAGCATGTACTTACAAACAAAATTTATGCATTTTTCATTTTCTTTAGTAATTTAATATAATATTATACAATTGGTACAATGTCATTATACAACAACAACGATTGAGTACTGAATCGGTGAAAAACATATATATATATATATATATATAAGTCTGCATGATATAAATATTTTTTTTTCTTTCTTTCAAAGTAATTTTTCTTTTTAAGAGATGATTATAGATGAATGATAATTTCTCAATTTATTTATTTATCTTTAACTGTAAATTTTTTGTTTTCTTTCTAAATTACACCTTCTTACTTTTTCACATATTAAATTATTTATGAGATATACGATATGAACATTTGAATAGAAGTAAAACACACAAACAATTGTTTTATAGATAATTTTAAGCTTTAAAATTGAATATGATACATAAAGAAATAATATAGTAATTAGTATTATATTAATTTGTAGAAATGCAACCAAAGGAATTATAACATTGAATAAGGCATTGCTGTGTTTTGATAGACTCTATGTTAGGTGTTTCCAAGAATTTTTCAACAAAATCTATATGATCTAATAGTTGATTTAATGCTTCTTCATAGTAACCTTGATACATTTTAGAAATTGCATTAACCCTCTTTTCAACTGATCTTCTAAGTTGCTTTTTCAATTTTTGATAGTCTAATTTTTTATTACATTGGGGACAGTGTTTTATTTTATGCATGCCATTCTTTGTCTCCGTAAATGAAGGTTGAGAACATGTTTTGCATTTAAAATTGAGCATATCTGGCAATGGTAATCGCCAATTATACTTGCAAGCATCGCATTCGCACATGAAAAGATATTTTTTCCATAAATATTCGCGCCTTGCCAATTTTTCTTCGCTAAGAAATTGTGGACCATAACAGTCTAATATTTCATTTCCTTTGCTAATGCAACGTAATGTTCTTACAACAACTTTTCCTACAAAAGGATATATTTATTAATTGTTTGCCAATATAGTGCATATCTTTTATTTTCGTTGCATATAAAACTCATAAAGAACAAAATAGATAATTATAAAAAAAATGTTATGTTATTATATCATATAATATAATATAATATAAAATATATATCACTTACCAGATGAATAAGAATGTCGAACCACATTAGGATAACAACTATGATTTGTAAGACTGACAGTGGTGTAAATGGCACAACCTACATTTCTTGGTTCCCAAACATGCGTTACTTCATTACGTACGTTTTCAACGATCTCGTAAGCATTATAATTAATAGCCTGCAAATGCTGCAGCGTAGCCGTCGCTAAAGCTATGAACTTGTTGTTATCCAGTGAATCTATTCCAATTTCATTGAAAGAAAAAATTAAACATTTGGCTATAAACACTGCTTCTATACTACGTATAGCATTTACATTAGGATCTACATTCGTACAATGTGATTCTAATTGTAAAACAGTTGTGTAATCTAATGGATCATATATTTTATTTGCATTTGATATAACAGTGTCTTTTTCTTTTGACTGGTGGTGCTTAAAAAACTCTGTATTAAGACTGGACGATTTATACATTCTTTCCGTGTTATTATGTTTTTTTTCAATTGGAGATAAAGCTGCGATCAAAGTAGTTCTATAAGCCAACAAAAGATGGGAGAATTTATTTTTTCCTTCATTAAATCCTTCCTCAAAGAAAATATTTAATATAGGGCATTCATATTTATGATACATCTCCCATGACTCACTGCGACAAGCTTCAGTGCAATATGAAACCTGAAAACGGAAATATAATTTCTGGAATATGGATGCAAAAGCACAGTTACACACTGATCTTCATAACGATTTAAAGAGGGGTAAAACAAAGTTAATTATTATTAAACTATGTATCACTCTTGTACACACACAAAATCATGCATAATACTAACTGTTTGACACATATAACAAGGAATTCTAACATTGTCTTCCAATTTAAGGGAACTGTAACAATGCAAGCAATTCCTATCGAGTGTCTCTTTATCAATGCTGGAGGAAAAAGGCTGATCGACGATCAAAACACTTCCTGCGCAAATATCTCTGGTTGCTACAAGATGCCTGCCTCTGTTATTATCAAATCGAAGTTCTACTGCATCGGAACAACTTTTCAGGCTGTTGTTTAACTTTCCATGCATAGTTGGTGTCGATACGACGGTTCGTTTTTTTATTATTTCAGCGGAAGAACAATACTTAGCATTTTCCTTTCCACGTATTTTCTGTTTTCGTCGAATAGTTATTTCCAGTTTTTTAGAGCACTCATGTTTAAAATTATAACATTCCTTTTTATGCTTTAAATAAACATTTTTACTATCTACATTTTTATCGTAAAAGCTTTGAGGAAGTGCTAACAAACATTCACTATCTTTAAGACAATTTATCCAAGCTCCTAATTTATACCAATATTTTGCACGCTCTAAAAGAGCATTCATAAATACTAAACTACATGCACTGGCTGCAAACAGTGCTTCGGTGAGAACACTACATGCTCTACTCTCTTCCTCTGCTTTATTTTCTCCATCTTTCATTATATTAAGTGATTTCTGATAAAGCAGTGTTGCTTGTTCATCGTTCTTACCCTTATATGATTTAGTTATCTTTGTATTTAATACACATGGTAATTCAATTATTACTTGAACCATCCCTTGTCTATCTCCCTTTTCCGAGAATTCTTTAAAACGACTTATAAACGGTTCAGTTGTTACAGTATCGTATGCTTGTCGACAAAAATTAACAAATATACTGCCACTATAAAAAATGTATTGAATATTTATTAAATATAATTAAGTCTACGTAATATATATATATATTATATTATATAATGAAAAAAAAAAATAGATCTGATTGTAAATCAAATTTATTCTTGTTCTGCATATTGAATATATTATAATATATATCTATATATGTTGTGTGGTATTTGACATAGAATTTTATCAAATAAATAGTATATATATTTATTTATATAATATATAAATATATATTGAAATTTGTATAGTTTGTATAAAAATGTAAATATATAATGTCACGTAAAATAGCATAAACTCTTTAAACGTTATTAATTTATTAAATTTATATCTATTTGAAATATAATTGAAAAAGCGAGAGAGATCGTAAAAAAAATCATTTTTTACTTACTGATTTGTCATAGTCATTTTTAAATATTATTTGTTACTGTTCCCTCACAATTTGTATCACGAATGTAGGACGGTTGTCGTACTTGTATATTCTCTCGAAGGCGGTTTACTAATGTGACGATTTCTAAAATTAGGTACCAAAGTTACTGTTGTAAATGCCTCGTATAAAATGCGTGGCAAATGCCAAACATAACACATCAATGAATTTATTTTGCTTTTCTTTCTCTCCCTCTCTCTCTCGCTCTCTTTCTTCCTCTTTGAATTGAAGATAAAAAAATCATTCTGAATATATTGTAGGTAAAAAATAAAATAAACAAATTATTTGAAAGTTCTTTAATAATATTTACATAATGCGTCTTATGCATGCAATTCTATTGTAACGTATATAGAAGAGTAATTTATTATTAGTTCTATAAATGCATCAAGAACAAACGAAATCTTCTATGCAGTATTGCACTATCTACATTTTGAGAATACACAAGTATAAACGAATTATATTTTAGAAATTAATTATTGATAAAGTAAAAATATTGTTATTTGATTATAAATTTTTTTTCTTTAACTATACAATTGGACGATTATTAATCTATGTTAGTAAAGTTTGTTTTAAAACGTGACAAATGTGTTCGATAATAACAAAGAAGAAAAGAAAAACAATAATTAACAAATTTACAAGTTTTGCATTTTTATTTAAATCATCTTATTGATAATTAATTATTATTATATACGTGTGTGTGGTTACACAATTGTAAAAATAATTATATAAGATTTTAACTTTTCAAATGAAAATCATTTCCGCTTATTTCTAATATCCCGCGTCTTGATGATTTAAAAATAGCGGCGCGGGTAAATATTACAGATTTTTCGCGCGTTTGACCAATAGAATGTTAGCGTTTATTCGTTATAATTATATGGCTTAGACTTGTAAAAAGTAATAGATAGGAAAAGTAGTTTAAGATTTAGTCGTGGCGCTTCAAACGTTTTTATTTGACGAACCTCAGTCGATAATGTAGGAAAGTGAATTTTTCTAGAAGTGGAAACGTCAAGATCAAAGGATACAGAAGTACATAGAACCTCATAAGTCCACTTTTTTCCTAACCAGATTCATCTTAGTTAGTACCCTGACCACAAGAGAGCGATAGCAGGTACTTAACACGATGACGATACACACCATCAAAGAATATAGTATTAAACAAACAGTCTACAAAACAAGATAGTTCTTCTCCAGATAAATTGTCAGTCCAAAAGTTCGTGATCAGGGTTCTAACTAAGATTAATCTGGTTAGGAAAAAAGTGGACTTATGAGCTTCTATGTACTTCTGTATTCTTTGGTCAAGATTGTTATAAATAAAACGTTACCGACAAATTCGTAGCTGAAGAATGGAAAAGAATATTACGAAGTGATGGTAAAGAAGATTTAAGCAAGAATTTAGGTTACTTTTGTAAGATCTATAATATACATTCTGCCTGTGTTCTAACGGTGCGTTCCACTAAGCGCTCACAACGATCACGCTCACGACCACAGTTTTTCCCGTTCCACTTACCTACGAGCGTTACTGTCCTAAATTCAAGTGGAATGGACTATGGTGCGTTTTGAGCGTGGAGGTAATAATACAAATGGCGAGGTAGTGAAAAGAAAGTAAAAGATTAAAGAGGTTAAGATTTAATCTGTAATCCTTCATGTCAGTTTCACGGTCGCCATTTTTATTGTTGTCAGTTTCGAAAAAACCGCTAATTTTCTCAACGCTCACTACGACCCACGTTTTCAGATGGGTCGTTGTGGGCTTCGCGTGAGCGTTAGTAATGACGTCATGAGTGACGTTTTCGCCGCGACCACAACGACCGCGGTCGTTATGTGGAACGACTAAAGGAGCATTTTGATCGTTGTGAGCGCTTAGTGGAACGCACCCTAAATATACAATACGTGAAATCGATTTATTTAGCC